ACTTTGCAGGACTAGGGGGGACTAAGGGTTTTTAGTGAGACTACGTAGTATCAAGCGAGAAAAGTTTGATTCGGAAGAAATTGGTGTGGTTTTTTGATTTTAGAATTCAGTTTGAAATAAAAAAGCCCATAGACTCAAATCTTGGTGAATAACAGTTACTCTACTTCTACTTATCCGACAATAATCATTGTATAGTATAGAAAATATCCTAATAACTTGCTCCAGTCAACGTTTTATGCACTGCCAAATAATGATGAATTTATACAAAGAAAATATATTGAAGGTTTGAGAGCTGATATATATATACATATCATGATCAGCGGCTTTGATTCATCATCAACGAAAAAAGAAGTGTATAGGCAAGTGTGCGATTTTGTTTCTTTTCAAACTGATGCATATCGATAATCAACCAAACGAAACGATGTGAAACAGAAAAAAAAACGATAATGTAGTATGTGGCCTGATGATATAAAGCAACGAAAGAAATACTAATCAATATCGAATGCACTACGTGTGGCGACACCTAAGCGAGACTGGTTTTTTGAAAGCTCATATTTACAGCATATGATGTATGTCACTAATAAAGATTATTTATGAAGTCAAATTCTTCTGACTCACTATAATCATGGAATTAAACTAAAATCAAGGAGTTGATTTACCGACATCTTTCATTTTTATTTGTTCTCACACAAAATTGGTTGTACTATTTGTGGGCACTGTTTAAGGGAAATGCACGAGCTAAGGGAAAAAACGGATGCCACCATCATTCTTCAAGTTACACATACGTCGATAGGACGTGTTTTCTTTTCTCTCGTCATATATATATTCAAACGTTATATACGTATTTTTTTTTTGTTTTTGTTTTTTTTTCTTTATCTTCTGATCACGTGTTCATTTTGTTCTCAAAACTTGACCGGAAAATCACATCCTAATTAATTAAACAAGATCGTTAGGCTTGTGATCCTGGTACCTAGTCATGTTAGACAATAGATATAACATGATATGTCCCCTCCCCTTGGTTTCACAGCCCTCTTCTATAATCCAAAACACGAACGTTCAAAATGATATTTCAATTGATGATCAAGATACACCAATCCCCACCTCACCTCCACTTAATCAAAAACATTATGATTCTCAACATCAAATTTTTAATGAACAAGGTCAAGAGATCGGATCATTGAATGTTAATAATAATGATGAATTTATATTAGTTAACCCCCCCCACCCCCCCCCCTCAAAAATCGATCTCAGCTCTGGAACACCGAGATAGCATGAAACTTTGGAGATATGTTGGAGGTGTAAAAGTACGTCTATGGTAAAATTTTCAGCCTTCTATCCCGATGTGTAAGGTAGATACGAACCAAACAAGGGTCGAAAAATGGCTTATTGTAGCCCCCAAAAATCTCTACGGGTGTTCATTCAATATGGTTCATTGTTTTTTCATTTGAAAGAGCATGTCAGGATGCAGTGCCTATGAGGGTCCTTTTTTTTAAATTCGTATCTTTAATAAGAACTTGCGTTCGTGCTTACTTTGATTTCTTTTGTTTGTCTTATTCAATCAATGGCAACTAGTAGTGAAAATTCACCTGGTCATGAATCACTTGTTATAGACAATGATGAAGGAATAAATGCTGAGAGTAATCGAACGACTACTCTGATCAAAAGTAAAGTTTTTTTTTCGAAGAATAATGAACATGTTCTTATTGGTAATAAATCTTTAATTTAAAAAAAGTAAAATAAATGTTTTATTCTTAGAAAAAGGTGTTAAAGGTAATTTTGTTACCGTCAATCGATTTTTTAACACTTTGGTTTTATCAAGCGGTAATTGTGATTCTTTTTTTTTATTATATAATTTCATTTGTTTTCCAGTAAAGATAAAGCTGAATGGCCTGATATTTTCGCATGAGAAGCTTCAATTATTGATCAGATTCGTCCAAAGAAATTTTTCGTGGCTGATACCTGCAGCTTTGACATCATGAAAAGTGAGTTATTTAGCTCTAGTTACAATATAAATAATATCTCCTTGTCCTACAGCTCCTCGTGGTTATGAAGCTATCAATATTAATATTATCGAGAGAAATATCAATTCCATTCGTAAGTTGCCTAAAATTCCGAAGAAAAAAGAGACCGATTCAAAACAAACAGCAATATCTGGTGAACTATTCCAGTCGACATTGTAAATACGACTCATGTTATTCTTAACTTTCCTTGACTTGATGTATATTAAATTGTATTCTATTATAGGGCTATGCTTTTTCGTGAAGCGTTGAAGAAAAAGTAAATCCACTTGATCGACGTTTGACTTATAACAACAACATAATCAATATGACATTTGTTAACATTTTTAACAGCAAAAAAAAAAAAGAATTTTTTAAAAAAGATCTTGTGTTGAAGAAAATTGTGAGAAAAACAATTTATCTTTAACTTAATAAAATATTTAATAAAAAAAGAATTTTTCTCATGAATACGCATTTGTTTTCATTCATACATTGAACAAAACAAAAGAAAATCTATACAAAACGGCTCGTTCTCAACAGAGATACTTTTTAGTATATATCCTGTTCTTCTATTTTCTCTTCGGCTATTTATTGTTTTAATACAGTAATTTAAATCTACTATAGCGATTTAATTCTATAATTTATGTTTAGTCTTCGTCTATACGTATTTAAGAGAGGGTCCATGAGATGATCGAGGATCGCTCCAATATACGAGGCACTCGATAAAATTTTTTTTTTCGATTTTTTTTGCTCATTCGAAACTTCAATGTCTAAAACTACTAGCCC